ATCGGTCTCTTAACCAGGGGGACACATCGCCAAGAAATACACCCACCCCTGCAACCCCCAGCAGATTTCTGCGGGACCAGAACCTGAACACATGCTTACTCCAAAGTAATTTCTGGCAAAGGGGACTGGCGTGGCAAACTCATGGAGCACCCACAGGGCTGGGGCAGAGACTCAGCTCTCCTAACACCCAGAAACTGTGTTCTTCCCACAGACCTCTACCACTCTCAGACCCGCGGGTCACAGAAAACAAAACCACGCACAGCAACATTGACCGACACCAGGCCTCCCTGTACCGGGCATCTCTGAATTCAGATTTGCAAAGTATGGGCATAGGAGGCTGGTGTAGGAGCAGGAGAAATGGCTCGGGCTGAATATGGTGGGCAACTGGAGTGTGATCCCTCGTGGGACTGGAAGCTAAAAGGTCAGCCGTTACCCCACACTGAGCCCCGCTCTTCTGAGTTCACTATTGGGAAGGGGGTGTCAGTTGTCTCCTCCATCAAACAGGATCAAAATAACCCCAATTGTCCCCATCCCAGGCCTCCGCAGGAGCCATTCCCTCTGCCTGGAGCCCTTCCCAGTCCCGCCCCCCATTTGACCAGCTACACTCATAGGCTTCCTGAAATCTCTGCCCAGCTGTCCTGTGTCCCCCAGAGCCTCCCCAGCTCACCCGGGGCCTGGGCGGTTCCCCTGCTCTGCTCACCTTGGCTCCCAAGGCACTTGAAGTCCACAAGGGCAGTGACCCCTGGGCTTCCAACTCAGACCATTAACCAGTACTGGGTCAAATGAATGCATCAGCAAGAGCTCTGGTATAAAGGCCAAGCTTCCCTGCCCTCCCTTCAAAAGAAGGAAATTCCTTCTTTTGAAAGAACTGAAGACAGAAGAAAGGGGCAGTGCTAGGAAGGGCTCCCAGGAGGCCTCCTAAGCTGGGATTCGCTGGGCATTCCCTGGGTTTTACCCCCAGACCACACAGCACAGTGGAATAATTCAAGTCCAGAGCGGGGATGGCCACGGGCATGGGGATGGCCAGGGAGGGCAGTCTTAGGCCCCTGGGGAGCAGCCCCAGGGGGAAGTCACAGAGACACCACCCAGAGCCACAGAGGAGTGACAAGGAAGTCAGTGGGCTCTTCACCTGCACCCCCACCCCCAGAGATTTCCACATACAACCTGTGACCGCACTTCCTGACCCCCGCCTCAGCCCCCAGTTCTCTCCACCCAGACTTTTGGCCTTTTCCACAGTGAGAGAAAGAAGTCAGCCAACTATCCTGCAGTAAAAAATGAATTCATTTACAAAAAAAGAAAGGAAGGGAGGGAGAGAGAAAGAGAGAGAGAAAGGAAGGAAGAAAGGAAAAGAGAGAGAGAGGGAGGAAAGGAGGGAGGGAGGGGGGAAGGAAGGAAGGAAGGAAAGAAGAAAGAAAGAAAGAAAGAACGAATGAAAGAAAGAAAGAAAGAAAGAAAACTTTGCTCTACCCCAGTTGGCTTCCTTCTCCCTCTGTCTGTCTTCCTCCTGCCCTCGATGTTTCAAAACTGCTATAAAATACCCGCAAACAGAACTGACCGTTCTCACCGTCTGTAAGTGTATCATTCAGTGGCACCAAGTACACCGATGACTCTTGGAAGAACCGTTTGGCACACACTGCTCTTCCAGCAATCGCACCTTTTTGCATTCCTGCCGGGAATGCCCTGGGGTTCCCATTCTCCGCATCCCCACCAACACTTGGCATTGCCTGCTTTTTAATAATAGCCATCCTAGAGGGTGCGAAGGGTTTTCTCGGGCCCCTGGGTCTTCAGCAGCCCGGGACCCTCTCTGGGTGCACCACCAATTCGACTGGGCTTCACGCCTTCGCTTCTCTGCTGACCCACCACTCAGTTCTGATCTCCCAAGTCAAAACTAGTGCAGTTGGCTCCAGCAAGCCTGTGGATTGAACATTTTGGGGGCATCTGTCTAGCCCTGGTCCAGCTGGCTCTGGCGGGCGTGGAGGGAGGTGGTCCATGGGCCTTCCAATTCCAGGAGTGTGGCAAGGCCACTTTTTTCTTTCCTCGTTTCTTCCTTTCCTCCTTCCTTCCTCTCCTCCCTCCCTCCCTTCCTTCTCTCTCTCTCTCTCTTTCTCCCTTTCTTTCTTCCTTTCTTTACGTCTTTTCTCTCTCTCTCTCTTTTAAAGATTTCATTTATTTGAGGGAGAGAGAGCAACTGGGGGGAGGGGTGGAGAGGGAAGAGAAAGAAGCAGACTCCCTGCTCAGTGGGGAACTTGACTCAGGGCTCCATCCCAGGACCCCAAGACCATGATCTGAGCTGAACTCAGACACTTAACTGACTGAGCTGCCCAGGTGCCCCACGAGGCCACTTTCTTGCTGTGGGCGGGCAAGGACAGACTGGTGCAGTGGGAACCAAGGCCAGCTGCGGACACAGTTCTAGACAGGAAGCATGAGTGGAAACAGCGTGGTCACCAGAGATTGGCCGCAGAAATGACAACTGTCCACACACGGTTGGGGGGGGCATCCTTATCAACAAACTCAGGTTCATGAGCTCCCAGACTTTGGGATGGCTAACAGTGCTAGGTTGGTTGGTTTGTTTTTCCCAGAAAAACATTGACAGTGAGAAATAGATGCCCAGGAAAACAGGGGACAGATCTGTGCAGGAAGATAGACAGATCTGTCTCCTTATGTCCATGCCCATGAAAAACCAAACTTGATCAGAGATTGTGCTGACAGTGGTGTTGGGACAAGGGGAACCAGAGACCCATTCCAGGGACCATGAGGTGGGACACTTCCTTCCCCTCCAGGGCCCGGGCTCACTACCATGGCTGGCTTTCTGTGTTTCTTTCATGTTATGCTCTTGGACAACAATTCTCAGCAGTGGGGAGAAGCCATAGGCCTGCTATCCAGGAAACCCCACAAAACCCTTCGTTCTGTGCTTACTGGGCTGGAGGTGAGACAATGCTTGTGTCTGACTCCATTCCCCGGTGCCCCGGTGCTCAGGCACGTTGCATCTGCCAGCCTGCCACGTGGTTTACCAGCAACCTGTGCCCGAGTTTGGGACAATGAGCTGAAGGCACAGATGATGGACAGCCTGCCCCGCCCAGCCCGGCCTCGAGCCTCTCTCGTGTCTTCCGGGCTTTTTTTCTGTGGCCTGCCGGCCAGAGGCGAACAATCCAGGGGAGGAGTCCCATCCCTGGGGATGGTGACCAGGCAGACAGAGGAGTCCGGGCCCATAAATGACCTTGTGAACCAGAACCATCCCCCCACTGCCCCCAGAGACTCTGCCCTGGGATGGGAGTGAGAAACAAGCATGTCCTGGGAAGCCACTGGTCTCAAGGGCTCTGTGTTCCCGCTGTGAGACTACGCTGACCAGCGCACCTTGGGGACAGCCGTCCCCAGATCCTGCTCTGCTGCTCAGTCAGTCCTGACTGCACCCAAACCGGCTGTGTCCAGCTTGACTCATCTGTTCCCCACCTGGTGACCCACTAGAACATTCCGGTCCCACCTTCCTGGCTTGTGCCCAAGTCACCTGCTCCTGATCTGTGGTCCCACATTCTCTTACTGACAAGGGCTTGAGCCAACAAACTGCATGTCACCTCCAGCATGTTACCTGACTATCCTGTGTGCAGTGGCACTAACTCCCGCCCCCCCAACGCTATGAGTATTGGGGCGCCTCCTGGAGCACAGAGGCTGGGAGCCTCTGCTGCAGAGGGCACCCCAGTCATCAGGTGCACTCCTCGCCAGCTGGTGACAAGGAGCTAAGGCTCTACTCCTTGCATTCACAGAAGTGTCCTCCCCTGGGCAAGTGGTGAGCTTGTCCCCGGTGTGCCCTACCAGTGGGACCTGACCCTGGAGCCCCTGCCAAGGACACTTTCTTTCTCCTGGACCTCCAGCGGTGGCCTGCCCCTACCCAGGAGTGGCCCCCAGAGGACAACTGGGCTGCTCAGGAGCCAGCCTGGAAATCCTGTCCCTGCGTCCTTGTCTAAGGCTCTTGGGGTCACTTGGGGGTTTTGTTTCATGTAAATGCTCTTCTGAGGAATGACAATCCTGTGTCCATAGACCCAGATGAGTTTCTGGGGAAAGGGTAAGGAGAGGTTGGGAGGTAGGTGGCCCAGGAAGGTCCCAGGTTTGTCCCTGCAGGGCTTGCCCTGGGTCAAGAGTCAGGCAGAGGGGCACCTGGGTGGCACAGTCAGTTAACTGTCCGACTCTTGGTTTCCGCTCAGGTCATGCTCTCAGGGTTGTGAGCTCGAGCCCTGCGTTGGGTTCCATGCTCAGCACAGAGTCTGTTTGGGTTTCACTCCCCCTTTCCCTCTACCCCTCTCCTCTGCATTCTCTCTCTCTTTCTTTCTCTAAGATAAATAAAAAATCTTAAAAAGAGAGAGAGAGCCAGCCAGGAAGCTCTTGAGGTCATTGCTCAAGAGTGGAGGAAGCCTGAGGGGCTGGGAAGTAACAGGGCTCATTCTGGCTATCCCAGCCCTCTGTTTCCCCCACCATAGCCCAGAGAGATGCACCAGACGTGGGCACTCAAAAGTCCCCAATTGGGGCGCCTGGGTGGCTCAGTGGGTTAAGCCTCTGCCTTCGGCTCGGGTCATGGTCTCAGGGTCCTGGGATCGAGCCCCGAATCGGGCTCTCTGCTCAGCAGGGAGCCTGCTTCCCTTCCTCTCTCTCTCTCTCTGCCTGCCTCTCTGCCTACTTGTGATCTCTGTCTGTCAAATAAATAAATAAAATCTCTAAAAAAAAAAAAGTCTCCAATTGCAGGGACCCAGGAGTCCAGGCCCATGGGACTTAGTGCAGGAAGAGAGAGGGAACTGGAAACCAGCATGAGGAAGGAAACGGTGGAGGGGAGGTGGTGGTAGAGTGTCACTGCACAGAAGAGGCAGGGATCAAAGCACCTGGAGGGCTCTCCAGGACAAAAGCAAACACCAAGGTCCCTGCTGCTCCCCCAGAGCCCCACCCCCCCCCCCCCCCCCCGGCCAGGTATAAGGGCCCCCGCCCAAGCAAGGGATCCAGGCTGTGGAGGTGACATGGCCCAGTCACACTTGCTGCTGTGGCTGCTGCTGCTCCCCACGCTGTGTGGCCCCGGTGCCGGTGAGTCTCCCCAGCCTCTCCTCAGCTCCCTCTCGCCTGGGGTCAGGTGTGGAGGAGACTTCCTGGCCATCTCCAGGCTGAGCCAGGCATTATCCCCAGTTTGTTCAATATCCTCATTTTAAGATGAGGCAGCTCAGGCTCAGAGAGGTTCCCAGGCTTGTCCGAGGATACACAGCGGTTGGGGGGGTGGGCACTAGAGCAGGTGGAGCCCTGCTCCTTCTGACTCCAGCATCTCTAAGGGCCTTACCAGTGCTCCTGGTAAAATTAGATTTGGAGGTTGGGTGAAGTCAGAGTGCTAGGCATGGCCTAAATTCCATGGCTGCTCTGGCCCCAAATCGCAGCTGACTGGACTGCCTCATCCCTGGCTTGTGCCCGGGGCCCCGAGTTCTGGTGTCAGAGCCTGGAGCACGCGCTGCAGTGCAGAGCCCTGGGGCACTGCCTACAGGAAGTCTGGGGCTACGCAAGAGCTGTGAGTACCTCCCTCAGAGGCGCGGGGACTGGAGGCCTGGCATGGGGGGTGTTGGATAGCCTTTGTATGCACCTGAGGGGGCTCAAGGCCCCCCAGGGGTAGGACGGGATGGATGATAAGATGGGATTCCATGGGACAGGATGGGATGGGATGGGACGGGACAGGATGGGATGGGATGGGACCGGATGGGACTGGATGGGATGGGACGGGACAGGGGTGGGTAGTTGCCTGTGCTTTGGAGCGCTCTTTCAGCCTCATGCACCTGAGCTGGGAGCATACCACCCCCCATCAAATGCTCCACCTTGGGGCCCCCTCCCCAGGATGACCTGTGTCAGGAATGTGAGGACATCGTCCGGATCCTCACCAAGATGACAAAGGAGGCCATTTTTCAGGTAATGAGGTCCAGATCCTGGATGAAGCTTGGGGGCCAAGAGATGGGGGACAGAACAGGACATAGAGGTCAGCCCCCTAAAGAGACCATCTCCAGGCCGAGAGTGAGGCATGGGTTTGTCTGGGGACTCCAGGAACCTCCTGGCCAGGAGAGGGTCCTGGGAGTGATCCTCAGCAGCACAACCAGAGATGGTCTTTCCCAAGGTGGGGGAATCGTCCTTGTAACCAGCTACTTAACCCTCGGCACTCTCTCAACTCTGGTGCCCCGGGAGAGGGTGGCCAGCCTGCACCCAGGGACTCGGGCAGGCACAGACCTCGGAGGGGTCAGCCTGCCTGTCCCCTCTACAACCTGTCTCCTCACTGCCTCCCAGGACATGGTGCGCAAGTTCCTGGAGCAAGAGTGTGACGTTCTCCCTTTGAAGCTGCTTGTGCCCCAGTGCCATCACCTGCTGGATACCTACTTCCCAGTGGTCATCGACTACTTCCAGAGCCAGATTGTGAGGGCGCAGCAACCTCGCCTCCATCCTGCCTCCCCGATGGCCCCCATGTCCAGCCACGCCCAGAGTTACCCACACAACACCCCAACGCACACACACCCCCCTCGCCCCCTCCCACCGTGACCAGTCCAGGAGACATAGAGGCCCACACCCAGATGGCCCAGGTCAGCCCTACTGGCTCACCTATGCGGGATGGGCCCACACAATGGGCTTACCAAACACCTACCACACCCTCACACCCTTCACACTCACACTTGTTCACACACTCATACCACATGTGCAGCCTCACGCAGAACCCACACGATCACATACTTGCACACACAAACACATTCTCACCCTCATGCTTCCACTCATCCATTCTCACAAACATACATGCATGTGCTCATTCACCCCCATCCCCAGACCCCTGCCGGAAGACCCCACACAGCCCCACCTCTGCCTTTTGGCTCCCCCAACCCTCACCACAGAGCCCTAGGCCACAGCCCCCATCCAGCCTGCTGCCCCCCATTCCAGGCCCAAAGCCAGGGGTCTTAGTGACCACTCCCTCCCCCTGCACTGTGCCTTAGAACCCAAAGGTCATCTGCAGACACCTGGGCCTGTGCAAACTTGGGCGTCCAGAGCCTGGGCAGGAGCCAGAGCTGTCAGACCTGCTGCTGGAGAAGCTGATCCTCCCGGGGCTGCCGGAAGCCCTCCAGGTGAGGGCTGGGCCTCATACCCTGGTGAGAGAGGTCCCCCGCACTGCTGGCCCCTTACACAGATAGGTGGGCTTCCAGACAGCGAGGCCACAGTCAAGGCCCATAAGCACTTGCCCTGGAGAGGGCAGAGCCAGAACGGGGACAAGAAGCTCTAAGCAGGGCCTAAGGCAGGAGGGGGAAAGGGGAAGAGGAGGCAGGGGAGGCAGAGCCTGGAGGAAGCCTCCTCCAGTGCCCAGCCTGGCCTCACCTGGGGATGATTCTCTCCCCCAGGATCTGTCCGAGCGGCGGTTGCCCATCCCCATCCCCTACTGCTGGCTGTGCAGGACTCTGATCAAGCGGATCCAGGTTGTGATTCCCAAGGTGAGACGTCCAGGAATACGAGGAGCTTGGCAGGGCCTTCCATAGCTCTACCATCCCCTTCCCTTCCTCAAACCCTTGTCAGGGGCCACACAAAGGACCCCAGAACTCAGGCCCCTTGGGGGCGAGAACTAGAGTTCATTCAACACTTGTAAAGTCCCCCCATTATGTGCCAGGTGTCAAAGAACAAAAGTGAACAAGACCCGGGTCTTGCCCACCAGCAGCTCATCATCGGATGGCAAAGAATCCCAGTGTTTTTTTTCTTTTCTTAGAGAGAGCACATGGTGGGGGTGGGGGGAGGGCAAGGAGAGAATCTTAAGCAGGCTCCAGGATCAGCAGGGAGTCCAACGCGGGGCTCCATCTCACCACCCTGAAATCAAGATCTGAGCCAAAATCAAGAGTTGGACAGTCAACCGACTGAGCCCCCCCAGGCACCCCAACAAGTGAGGTTTTTAGCAATGGAGGCCATCTTGGCATGCTTGTGTGCCAATGAGACCGGCCAGCAGATGGGAGAAACAGTGACGTGGGGAGAGAGGACAGGGCCGGTAACGTACTGGAGAAGGTGGGGGTGGGGGTCCAGTGCACGAGTCAACAGGCTAGCCTTGGGCAGAGCAAGAACTGTTCCTCTGTCATCAAAGCAAGGAGGTTAGGCGAGCGTGGGTTCTGACACAAGGAGTTGAAATGCACAAGCATTTGGTGAAATGAAACCGTTTGGAAAGTAGCGAAGCCGAGAGACGTACAGTTCAGTGTCCTGCGCCCGCCCCCACCTTCCCACCAACAGGGGACAGCGTGGCCACAAGCAGAGCTAGAGCCAAGGCCAGCCTGGGGTGTCCAGGTTCTTGACCCATGTTGGTTGAAAGAAGAAAGGAGGGAAGGAATGAGCCAGAGTGTCCATCACCTCGGCCTCTCTCCTTGCCCTTCAGCCAGGAGGTGGATTTTGGAATCAGGGTGGGCTGGGGAAAATCCTTGCTTCCCCCAGGGACTCCGGGATCCACAGATGAAAGTTGATCCCGCTGCAGGGAAATGTGGCAAACCCGGCGTCTGTAGGGAGAAGACGCAGGTCTGATCACCACGTGGCCCGGCTGATGCCTGCCCCTCCAGGCTGGCCATGCTCCTTCCTGCGCTCCCAGAGCCTGTGGACGCCAAGCTAGGATGATGGCCTGGCTCCTGCACTCACTTGGTGACTCTGGCTGGGCCCCTTGCACGCTCAGAGGCCCAGCGTCCTTATCTGTAAATGGCATAAGCATTCCCCCTCCCAGAAGGGTGCAGGGTCAAACTACAAAGTGCCCGCGGCTGCCCAGTACAGTGTAGACCTTGCTGGGGCAGGTCCCACCGTGCCCTGTGTCTACCCCTGCCCCAGGGCGTGCTGGCTGTGGCTGTGGGCAAGGTGTGCCACGTCGTACCCCTGGTGGTGGGTGGCATCTGCCAGTGCCTGGCTGAGCGCTACACTGTCCTGCTGCTCGATGCGCTGCTGGGCCGCGTGCTGCCCCAGCTGGTCTGCGGTCTGGTCCTCCGCTGCTCCAACGAGGACAGCGCCGGTGAGCCTACCGCCCCGGCCCCTCCCCAGTGCCCATGCTCCTCTTTCCCAGCCCTGGCCTTGCACCGCCCTCCCCCTTCCTGTTCCTCACCCTCTACCTCCCAACCTCCCCCACCCCCACTACCCCTGGCACTGCACCGGTCAGGACTGGAACTGAGCTCCTCTGCAGGGCAGTCTTGATGGTTTTCTCTCCAGTCTTTCCAGCTCTGGAGTCCCTGCCTGGAGAATGGTCCCCTGAAGAGCCCGAGTGCCATGTCTGCATGTTCGTGATCACGCAGGCTGGGAACAGCAGCGAGCAGGCTGTGCCGCAGGCAATACGCCAGGCCTGCCTCAACCCCTGGCTGGACAGGCAAAAGGTGAGGGATGGGCACATGGGGGTCTTGGGACAACGGGCCTGCCCCACTGGAGGGGGGAGCCCGGGAAAGGCTTCCCAGTCAGAGACACACACAGTCTAGCCCTGGCCTGAAGGGGATCAAACAGGCAGAACATGGCCCCAAAACCTTGGAACAATAACACAGGGCAAAACCTACCAAGGTCAGGGATCACCCTTGGACAAAGGGCATGGGCCCCAGAGGACCTGCAGGCCTCCCTTGTGGACAAAGAGTAAGGACACGAGTAACAGCAGGCCCACGGGAGCAGCAGAGGGCCTAGCCTTCTCTCCAGGGTCCCCGTCTGTCCTCGCCCCATCTCTCTGCTCACCGGGGACACATGTATCCATGAAGAGAGCCGGGCTTGAAGGCCCTAGAGTCCCAGGACTCAGAGTCCCTACAGAGAACTCCCTTCACGAAGTCAGGTCCTGAGGCAAGCCTACTGACAACCTGCCCAGGAGGCAGCTTTCTACCCCCAACACCAGGCTGCCAAGACCAAAGCTCTTTAAGATTTCTAGAACCAAAATTTGGGGGGATGGGAAGGTGGCGGCTAAGATGTCGCCCCTGTGTCTGAGTTTCAAGACCCTCCCTCTCCAGAGTCTCCGGCTTTCCCAACAGAAACCCTCCATTTGAAAATGCTGGCATCAACCTGTTCCCAGCCAGAACTGCTCAGTGGGGGCGATGGCGGGACCTCCAGCGGGTCAGGAGGGAGCGCTGGAGTGATGCAGAGAAGGGGAGAGTCCTGAGTGGGCCGGTTCCCCAGACACCTGTTTCTTTCTCCTTCCTCAGTGTGAGCGGTTTGTGGAGCAGCACACACCTCAGCTGCAGACCCTAGTGTCCGGAGGCCGGGATGCCCACACCACCTGTCAGGTGCTCGCTCCCTCCCAGCTGGTGCCAGGGCCTTCCCTGGCTCCCAGGGCCCCCACCCTCTCTGGCCCCTGATCACCGGCAGAGGCTCGGGTCCTCAGGGTCCAGGGCAACCCCAGGAGTGCAGGCCCAGGACACTATTTTAACTGGGGTCCAGGAAAAGCCGCAAGAGAAGGGACAAGGAGACATAGAGGAAAGGATGGGGCAGCTTTAAAAAGCGTGGTTTGATGCACATTGTGGGATGGGGGTTGTTCGGTGAGCAGTGGGGGCAGGGGCTGCAAAGTGGGTGTTCTGGGGCAAGCATCCTACCTCTTCAGGCTCCAAACCTAGAAGGCCCGTGACTCAGGAGTGGCTCGACAGGTCTACAGGGTCACACCAGGAGCATCCACCAGAGGCAGGCGAAGTGAAAACTGCCCCTTCCAGCAGGAGCTTCCCATCCCCCTCAGAGCTGGGAAATGGGAACAGGGTGCAAGGCCTCTGGGCCTAACGCTGTCCCTTTGGCAGGCCCTGGGGGCATGTAGGACCACATTCAGTCCCCTCGAGTGTATCCACATTCCTCACTTCTGACGAGAACGCAAAGCCATGCAGGTGAGTCCGGGCTCCCAGCTGAGGGGAGGAAGGGGCGGAAGAGGTAGATGGGTCTTGTACCCATCCAGACAGGGGCCCTGTGTTCCCCAAGCGGGAAGAGCTAGTCACTGCTGCTGGTTGCCCCATCTTCCCCCTCATAGGCCACAACTCAAGGCTCCTGAGTGCCCCTCACAGCACAATCTCAAGAATGGCCTCCCTCACTCCCTCTCCTCAGAATCCCGCCACCTCTGGTGCTAGGCCCAGCTCCCACCTCCCTGGTCCTGTCCCAGGCCTCAGGGGGAGCTGCACTTCACCCTCTGTGCTCACTGATCTTCCATATTTGACATATCAAGGCCAATCTTTCCTGAAGTTCAGGGGAAATCACACTTCGCTGCACAAAGATGTTGTCCCCTTAGAAGCCAGGAACCCCACCATCATTTGACAACCTCTTCCCAAGACACATTTCTCTCTTCCTGTCATTGTCTAAGTCAGAGGTAGCATCTTAGGATGGAGGGGTGCGTCAGATGCAGCCCCTGTGACCCCAGCCCTCAGGGCAGGGGAATGACTCTGAGAAGGACAGACACAGCAACTGTGAGCTAAAAGTGTCCCTGAGAAAGAACTTGGCCCACTTCACCATTCTGCTTGGAGCCAGGCCCTAACATAATGCTTATGTATTCATCTGTTCATTTTTTTTTTTTTTTAATGTTGTGGGTGCCTATGGCCAGGCCATGTTTTAGGGGCAAGGTCTACACTGTAAGGAATATGATGAACCCCATGCCCTCTTTGCGCTCAGGCCCCAGGGTCCAACTCTTCCATCTGAGTGGGGCAGCCCAGGCCTGCTGCTCAATGTCTCTAGAATCACAAGCCCCTGTGGGAGGCACTGGGGTAGAAGTGTCTGCCCCAACTCAGAGCTATCCCACAAGGACCAAATTCATGTTTCCCCTCTACCCTGATGATAGCTGGGGGATCCTGGAGGCCAGGGAGTTGCCCAGGAGACCAGGGTGGTCTCTTTTTCCCAGATCCTAAGGCTTCCAGCACCAGAAGAACCAGGCCTTCCAACCCTGTTGGAACAGGAACAGCAATGAATTGGCCCAGGGAGCCTGGGCGCTGGTCCCGACTCTGCCATCAACCGACTACGGGTTCCCCAGCTAAGATACGTTGCCCCGTCTCTGGCTCACATTCTCCTCAGTGGTAACGGGGGGATCGAATAAAGTGGTTTCTAGGATTCTTGAGCTCTCCCATGTGACAAGCCTCCTCCTCAGGCTCCCTGCCCTCTGCCCACACTGAGAAGAAGTCTTTCACCACCATGGTCACCTTCCCCATCTCCTTTAAGCTGATGGGACATGAGCCCACAGCTTGTAACCTCAGTCCTTTTGTCAGGCTTACCTCTCTTGTCTCTAACCACAGCCCAAAGCAGAGCCACTTCCTTCCTCTCTGGGTGTGAGGAGCAGCCTGGGGGGCATCTTCCAGAGATCTGCAAGAGGGGGCTTCCGGCCTAGTTCACGAACTTCCGGTCAGACTTCACACCCCACTGGAGCCAGTCAGCTTCCACAGCACCCCAGGGCTGGGTCCCCTGGAACATGTCAGCCACACAGTCCTCCCCTGGCTCCAAGAGGACAGCAAGGTAGAAGCCGGGACCCACCTCACTTTCATCTCCATGTGCATCAGATACGGGCTTTTACAGTGATTTTGCTAATACTTCCACAAAACTCAGATTCAGAAGAATTTTTAAAATGGGAACATCAAGTGCTATAAAAGATAGATATATAAAGTCAAAGTTTTTTTTTTTTTTAAAAAGTCAGGAAATCTCTGACTTGTCAAGAATGGACATAGCAGGGCTCAAGCAGGGTGGGGAGGTGACTGGACAAGCTTTCATATTTGAAATATTCTCCTGCTTAAGAGCTATCATTTTAGGATATAAAAAGGGGTTTTCTTTTTATCTCTGTGTAAGGTGAGCTTCCAAGTTTTGGTGGAAATTCCAGCGTGATTCCATTTCTGCTATGATTTATCTCCTCAAAGCTCAGTTGGGGCACATGCTAAAAATCAGTTCTATGTAACCCAATGCCTGTAACAATACTAATAAAACCTATTGCTTCACACTAAAAGGAAAAAGGCAGTCATTTAAAATGCCCCCGAAGCCACAGCCTCACACCTAGGGCAGCTGGACAGGGCAGCGACATCACTCTGATCCTTAAGGGAGAGGTAGGTGCCCACGGTGCCTCTCCCTCCAGTAACCACTTCCAGCCCAGCCCCTGCCTCTCACCCTCCCCTCTCCCAAAGAATCTACTCACTGCGATAAGAGGAGGTTGTTAGAGCACCCGAAAAATCAAAATATACAACAGCAGCAATAAAATTAAATAAACCTTAAACTTTAAAGACCTAAGTGCCTGGAAGTGTCCCTTTGTTTATAATATAAGAACTTTTGTTATTATATGTCCTATTATGAAAGAAATACATGTTTATTTCAGAAAATTCAGAAACCGCAGGTGACAAAGGAGTGGAAATCACCCCAATCCTACAATCCCAGGAGAGGACAAGAGCAGGATATGTTACTTTGGCACTGAGCTATAGACATTTCCAATCCATTTCCCCCACATCACGACCATTTAAGTTGCAGAGAAAAGCTTTCTATACACTTGGGGTAAGGATGTACACAAACCCCTGGCCTCTGAATTTGAACTTGTAAGTGGATTTTTGTAAATCTATAGCAGACTACTGTCTTGCATACCATTATTCTGATCGTAAGGTCAAGATCTCCAAGAGAAGAATGTTTAAAATTTTTTAAAAGCTTGGCTGGGAAGAGGATGACGAGACAGAGCCTGGAGGTGAGGCAAGTGCGGGGATGAGCTCCTGAGGATGGCAGACAGGCTTTCCCGCAACAGGAAGGTCAGGAGAGGACCAGCTCATGGGAGGAGAGAACTGCAGGAGGCGGCTGCAGCTGAGACTCGGGGGGGTCCCTGAGACATGCTCAGCATCCTGCACCCCCAGAGCAGGGTGGGAAAGGAGAAGCCCCAGGAGGTGTGAGGGCCAAAGAGCAGAGAGGACTTGTTCTTCACTTCCCAGGGTGTGAGGAGAACACAAGTCCCTCGGAGAAGGCTGCCTCCAACATGGCATCAGGAAGAGTGCAAAATACAGCCTTCAAGAGGGGCCTAGCAAATAGGCCTGAGGACAGCCTCAGAGGGTGCCCCCTCCATGGTGCAGAAGAGCAAGCACACCCCAGTGCCCAAGGGGCCATCAGAATCCACGTGGGACAAAATGAGGGGCCCTCAAGAGCCCATGACTGGGGACAAAGCACTGACAGATGTAGTGCACCTTGAGAGGAACAGAAGACAGACATGAGAGCCCATCACAGTGCAAGGACAGGGGGACCGAGAGGACCAGGACAGTACCATCCCCAGTACCTCCCCTCATGACAGGGCACTTTGTCATTCCTTCCCAGAGTGGGAATGGAAGTAGGGTCCAGTCGTTAGTAACCCAAAAGGGGCTGAGTATTAAAAGAAGGGGCTGCAAATGTTGATAGCAGCATGTCCACAACAGCCAAACTATGGAAAGAGCCTAGATGTCCATCAACAGATGAATGGATAAAGAGGATGTGGCATATATATATACAATGGAATACTATGCAGCCATCAAAAAACCGAAATCTTGGGGCGCCTAGGTGGCTCAGTGGATTAAAGCCTCTGCCTTCGGCTCAGGTCATGGTCCCAGGGTCCTGGGATCGAGCCCCGCGTCGGGCTCTCTGCTCCGCAGGGAGCCTGCTTCCTCCCCTCTCTCTCTCTGCCTGCCTCTCTGCCTATCTGTGATTTCTCTCTCTCTGTCAAATAGATAAAATCTTTAAAAAAAATTAAAAAAAAAAATGAAACAAAATCTTGCCATTTGCAAGGACGTGAAGAGAACTAGAGGGTATTATGCTAAATGAAATAAGTCAATCAGAGAAAGACAATTATCATATGATCTCACTGATATGAAAAAATTTGAGAAATGAGATAGATTATCATAGTGGAAGGGAGGGAAAAATGAAACAAGACAAAACCAGAGAGCAAGACAAATCATAAGAGACTCTTAATCTTAGGAAATAAACTGAGGGTTGCTGGAGGGGAGGGGGTTTGGGAGGGATGGGGTGGCTGGGTGATGGACACTGGGGAGGGTATGTGCTATGGTGAGTGCTGTGAATTGTATAAGATGGATGAATCACAGACCTGTACCCCTGCAACAAATAATCATTATATGTTAATAAAAAAAGAAAAGAAAAAAAAAGGAGAGGAAAGGAAAGGAAAGAAAAGAAAAAGAAAGGGCTGGGCACATGGGTGGTTCAGTCAGTTAAGCAACAGACTCTTGATTTCAGCTCAGGTCATGATCTCATGGTTGTGAGATTGAGCCCTGTATGGGGCTCTATGCTGGGTGTGGGGCCTGCTTGGGATTCTCTGTCTCTCATAAATTAATTTTTTTTAATAAATAAAAAAATAAGAAGGGGTTCAGTCACTTCCTAATGGGAATGTTATATTTTGGGGGCTTAAGAGCCCAAATTAGTTCAATTATAAAACAATAAAGATAGTTACTCTCATGTCCCCCTAATTAATGACTGAGATTTAAAATCCACAACATAATCATTGTAACATTTTATCACAGGTCATTCCAAACTTTTCTCTACACATATACAAAAATAGATGTAACAGATTTTTTTCTTTAGACTTTATTTATTTATTCAAGAAAGAGAGAGGCAGAGAGGAAGAGAGAGAAGCAGAGTCCCCACTGAGCAGGGAGCCTGACTCTAGGCCAATTCCAGGATATGACCCGAGCCAAAGGCAGCTGCTTAACTGATGAAGCCACCCAGGCACCCCTATATATAACAGATCTACAAAAATGGAAACATTCTACATCTGCTTTGTAAACTGAGTAACTGCTTTGTTCATTTAAAATTAATCTTTCTGGGGGCACCTGGTGGCTTAGTCCGTTGAGTGGCTGGCTCTTAGTTTCAGCTCAGGTGGTGATCTTTGGGG